CCCTGTTGGTTTATATTGAATACCCTCGATATCTCCTCACTGTTCATGGGTCCTCTCTGCAGGGTAGTTACTATGCTGAAAGTAGGGAATATCCCCTTAGCACCGTGAGCTTGGCACTCTGTGTGGTGGTGATCGGTTTCTGTGCTTCCCCACTGGCCTATAAGCATGTTCCCCATTTAGTATTCTGAGTTCTGGCCCAGAGCTGGTCTGGTGGACATGTGACAGATGTCAGATGAACTGTCGGCTGAAGTGAGGGCTGAGTCAGCCTGGCTACGCTGTTTCCCGTGGCCCTGCCTCTGAGAGTCCTGCTGGAGAAAGGCTGTTACAAGCTAGTGGTGGAGAGGTGTACTTCAGACCTTTTTATGTTTTTCTTCTAGGAAAACTGCTTGAATTAAAGTCTTTGGAAACTGTCTTGGGAGAAAACATTCAAGTATCATTTGTATTCAGGAGGCCTCTGGAAGAGTTTCTTGGGTGTGAATTAAGATGGGCTAATGACATTGTAAAGTTCATGTCTAGACACTCCCCTTATAAATTGCCACAGAAAAATTTCCCACTTCTGTTCTGGCTTTTCCTTCCTAGGGTAGTATCCCAGCCACATGTAGAGGTACATGACCCAGGTCGAATACTTTCCTATTTTTACTGTGTGTTCTTCTACTTAATAGTCACTGAACTCTCCAAGATTCTTAATCTATGTCAGGAATGAGAATTGTTTGGTTTTATCCATTTCCCCTCCTTCTTGCCTGATTTAGTGAATGAAGAGCGGCATTTGCTTTCTACCAGCAGCCTTGTTTTTTTGGGGGGGGGGAATATATAAAAGAAATTTTAAAAAATCGTTGGATTTGTCCTTGATTTGGCATGACTGATGAAGCAAGCAGCTGCTTAATAAGAAGCAAAGCTGGGAGTAGAACCATTTAATTAGCTTCTGTCCGTTGAGCCTTTAATAGAAGCCACAACTCGATTATATGGATCTCTTTAGTTTTAAATGAAACATTTTTGCAAAGGGAGGTTCAACATGTACTCCAAAGACCCCAGTTAAATGAAAGTCTTTCTGTGAAAAATATAAAATAGCCAGTATAATACTTAACAAAAACTAGCTTTTTTTAAAAGAATGAGTTTTTTTTTCTTCCAAATTGTTATTTATATTCTAGTTAGTTAACATATAGTGTAATACTTATTTCAGGAGTAGAATTTAGTGTTTCATCCCTTCACATAACACCCAGTGCTCTTCACAAGTGCCCTCCTTAATTCCCATCACCCATCTAGTCATTCTCCACTCACCTCACTCCTTCAACCCAGAGTTTGTTCTCTATCTTTTTTTTTTCCCCTCTATCTGTAAGAGTCCCTTATGGTGGGGTGGCTGGGTGACTTAGTCAGTTAAGCATCTACCTTTGGCTCAGGTCACGATCTCAGGGTCCTGGGATTGAACTCCACATTGAGCTCCGCATCTCCCTTTCCCTCTGCCCCACCCCTTGTTTGTGCACCTGTACACACACTCTCTCTCCCTCTCTCTCTCTCAAATAAATCTTTAAAAAAGGGTTTGTTATGGTTTGCTTCCCTCTCTCTTTTTTCTGCTTTCCCATATGTTCATCTGCTTTGTTTCCTAAGTTCCACATATGAGTGAAATCATATGGTATTTGTCTTTCTTTAACTGACTTATTTTGCTTAGCATAATACACTCTAGCTCCATCCACATTGTTGCAAATGGCTAGATTTCATTCTTTTGATGCTTGAGTAATATTCCATTTTGTGTGTGTGTGTGTGTGTGTGTGTGTGTGTGTGTCTGTACCACCTCTTCTTTATCCATTCATCAGTTGTTGGACATTTGGATGCTTTCTATAATTTGGCTATTATTGATAATGCTGCTGTAAATATCAGGGTGCATGTGCCCCTTCAAATCAGTATTCATTATATTGTTTGGGTAAAAACTCAGTAGTATAATTGCTGGGTCATAGGGTAGTTCTATTTTTAACTTTTTGAGCAACCTCCGTGCTGTTTTCCAGAGTGGCTGTACCAGCCTGTATTCCCACCAACAGTGTAAGAGGGTTCCCTTTTGTCTGCATCCTCGCCAACATCTGTTGTTTCCTGTGTTGTTAATTTTAGCCCTTCTGATAGGGATGAGGTGGTATCGCATCATGGTTTTGATTTCTATTTCCCTGATACCAAGTGATGTTGAGCATCTTTTAATGTGTCTGTTACCCATCTGTGTCATCTTTGGAAAAATGTCTATTCATGTCTTCTTCCCATTTCTTAACTGGATTATTTGGTTCTTTGGCTGTTGAGTTTGATAAGTTCTTTATAGATTTTGGATACTAGCCCTTTATCTGATACGTCATTTGCAAGTATCTTCTCCCATTCCATAGGCTGCCTTTTAGTTTTGTTGATTGTTTCTTTCACTGTGCAGAAGCTTTTTATCTTGATGAAGTGCCAGTAGTTCATTACTGCTTTTGTTTCCCTTTCCTCTGGCGATGTGTTTAGTAAGAAGTTGCTACTGCCAAATCAAAGAGGTTGCTGCTTGTGTTCTCTTCTGGGATTTTGATGGTTTCCTGTCTCATGTTTAGGTGTCTGGTCCATTTTGAATTTACTTTTGTCTATGATTTAAGAAAGTGGTCCAGTTTTCCCAACACTGTTTGTTGAAGAGACTCTCCTTTTTCCATTGGATATGCTTTCCTGCTTCATCGAAGATTAGTTGACCATATAGTTGTTGGGGTACATTTCTGGGTTTTCTATTCTGTTCCATTGATGTGTGTTTTTGTGCCAGTGCCATACTATCTTTTTTAATTAATTTTTTATTAACATATAACGTATTATTTGTTTCAGGGGTACAGGTCTGTGATTCATCAGTCTTAAACAATTCACAGTGCTCACCATAGCATATATCCTCCCCAAATCCCCTCCACTCCAGCAACCCTCAGTTTGTTTCTTGAAATTAAGAGTCTCTTATAGTACTGTACTGTTTTAATGAGTACAGCTTTGTAATGTAACTCGAAGTCCAGAATAGTGATGCCTCCAGCTTTGCTTTTCTTTTTCAGGATTGTTTTGGCTATTCAGGGTCTTCTGTGGTTCCATACAAATTTTAGGATTGTTTGTTCTAGCTCTGTGAAAAATGCTGGTGGTATTTTGGTAGGGATTGCATTAAATGGGTAGATTGCCTTGTGTAGTATAGGCATTTTAATAATGTTTTCTCTTCCACTAGGAATGAGGAATTTCTTAGTGGCGACTTATTTGAGTGTTTTTTTTTGTTAATGTACTAGTTAACAGTTAATAAAATGGATAATGTTGTGTAATACCTACTATGTTTTATAATATACCTTTAGCAAACATTAATGAAACAAATGCACATTATAAGGTTGAATTTTAACAAAAGTAAATAAGTAGCTCATGTCCAGCCACCCTCCAGGACTAGCAGAGAACATACAGAACCCTTCAGAGCAAACCATTCTCACACTGAAGATTAAACTCTCCACTCTTTTCTGGTTACTGGTTTCATTTTCTTCATTTATCTGCCCACCTGGCCTCCAGATCCCCATTTGCTTTAATCTTAGAAAAACATTTTCCCTTTTACGTTTCACTTAGTGAATTATAATGATATTTAATTTATGTACAAAACTTTTATGTATTATTTGGTTAATATTAAACCTAGGCTAAAAGATCACAAATTAAATTTTTAATACCCTAAAACACATGTTGAATTAAAAAAAAGTAAATGAGCAATAAATTTAATGGAATCTCACGGAGAAGAATTATAATATCAATATTTTTACTGAGCACACACACCAGAAAGAAAGAATGGGGAAAGAACTCATTACAGACACATGAGTTCTGTCAGAATGGGCCCTGTGGGAGCCTGATTCTTATTACAAGCTCCTGGTTGGAGGGGAATGAAGTGGGGTTATTGCTAGTGTAGTCAATGACTTGGTTTTTCTCTAGTGAATTGGCTTCAGTAGGTGACTTTATTTCTTCACATTAGGCAGCTGGAAATATGTATTGATTCATTTCCTTTTCATTTGAGGGTCAGCTGTATCAAAGATGGAGCCATTTCTAGAAATGCTATATTTGCTGGATATGAGCAACTGCTTTAGTGTCTTTCTTTTGGTTTGAATGTTCCTAAGATTTTTAGATCCAAATAAAGTTCAGTTCAGTGAGCTGGAAAACATATTTTGAATGAGTACATATGCATATTATATATATGCATATTACTGTTCTTCTAACTCTACCCTTAAAACCTGAAGCTCTTTTATAAAAATCTCTTATTTTAAAGATAAAAAGCCATGGAGGATTTTTGGTCCAAGGATGTGTGTGATTGCAGAATACTTTTTTAAAAGTTAAATACTAATTAAAGCAGCAACAGTGGCATGGTTCTTTTCTAAGATGGTATTCTTCTTCCTAAGATTTTAATTTTGTTTTAAATGTCATTTGTCTCACTGTACAATTAGTTTTTATAGTGTAATTATTTTTTGTTTTGCTATTGTAGTTAATCTTAGTTTTATTATTATTTTTGGCCTAATTGTTTCTTAGAAATTATCTAATGGACTCATTTCATAGATGAGGAAGTTAAAGCATAGAGAAATCAGGTGATTTTTCCTAAGTTTAATTAAAAATATTACTAAAAGAATACCTTCAGTTAAAGTACTTGAAATGCCCTCTTAATGTTAAACTCTAAGACTTAGATAATGTTGAAAATCATGCTGTTAAATTTGCCTTCTAAAATTGATAATAGTGAGATATTTAGGATGATTTTTCCCTTTTTTATTTTAAGAGTCTCATGCTGTACCGACTGAGCTAGCCGGGCACCCTCCCTTTTTTATTTTAAATACAAATACAAGATACATGACAAATAGCTAATAAAGACTTAAAAGTCCTTTAGTTTCTTTGTATTCTTATATTTGTGCTAAATTAAGATAAATTATTAAAAATATAAGCATGTATTCTTAAAATAAAAAAAATTTAGATTTCTTATGAGCAATTTAAAGCAATTGATGCCCATCTTTTTTTCTTAACAGGTTGAAGAAATATGGACACCAACACCAAACTGGTCTTCAACAGTGTTATTACCAGTTTTTTCACCTTTCAGCTTCTTTTCTACTTTATAAGTTTCTGGTTTTCAGCGAAAGTTTCTCCAGGTTTTAATAGTCTCAGCTATGAGAAGAAGATTGAATGGAACTCAAGGTAAAGCATATGAAAATGTAACTGATTTTAAAAAGTTAGTTTTATGAAATAAAATTTTTAAAAGTATTTCCCCCAAAAATCTTTCATTTAAGATCTAATAAAATTGAAGGTCAGATTTTTTTTTTTTTATTAATTTGACCTTAGGAATAAAAGGAAAGTAAGTAGATAGATCTCATACAAGAAAATTAAAAAAATTCTTCTCCTGAAAGATGTAAAGAAAAATTGAACTTTCTGGGGAGGCGTGGGAAGGTTAAGGCGACTCCAGCTGACTGCAGAAGAGTCCTGTTTTGTGTTCTCCTCTGAAACGTTTATGATAACAAACACATGCTCTCTGGAAGTGATCACAGAAGTGAATGTTAGCTGGGTCTGTGAGTAGCCTATATATGGTGTTGGCTGGCTTGGCCAGACTGAGGGCAGTTAAATGCTATACACCTGAGTATATGGTTAGCACATCTGTATCTCTGTTTTAATGAACTTTTCATTATAATTCAGAGGCCATCAGAACCTATTTTTTTGTTAAAAACTGCTTTTTAGATTTTATTTAAAACAAAAGAAAAAAATGGAAAATGAATAGTACCTTTAGGGTAAATAGAAATCTATGGGACTTTTAATGAGTTGGCTTGCACATTTTTTGAGTGTGCAACTCATTAACCTTTCACAGTGTTTCAAACACAAAATGACTCTGATGACTGCTTCACGTGCTTGTGAGCATTTCACCCAGATGTCACCGCGCTTTTGTACACTGGTGAATCGAAGCAGCTGTGGATGTATTTTTTTGTTGTAATTTACTTGAAGTTAATGCTGACTATAAAATGAATTCAGCAGGTCTCTAAAATTGCTATAATTATTTTTCATTGCAATTTCCTTTGAGAATTAAGTTCTGCCAAATTCTATTTATTTGAGAATGGTCCTATCTGGGAAGTGTCCTGTCTTTGAGCCGAATTGGTTTGTAGGCATGCACTTTTATAACTCAGACTGTGAATAAGGCTTCAGTTGTTTCCTTTTGCACCTTACATTGATTTGTCTGGTTCATGCATGCTATAGCTCTTTTTACCCAAAAGTGGGAATTATTTCACCATGTAGTTTTTTTGTTTTGTTTTGTTTTTTTTAAAGATTTTATTTATTTATTTGTCAGAGAGAGAGAGAGCAAGCACAGGCAGACAGAATGGCAGGCAGAGGCAGAGGGAGAAGCAGGCTCCCTGATGAGCAAGGAGCCCGATGTGGGACTCGATCCCAGGACGCTGGGATCATGACCTGAGCCGAAGGCAGCTGCTTAACCAACTGAGCCACCCAGGTGTCCCATTTCACCATGTAGTTTTGAAAAATAAGTTTTTTTTTGTTTTCTGAAGAATTCTAAGATGTTGTTCACAAGTGGGATACAAACCATCATTTTAAAAAACCCTTTCTCAGATGCAGATAGGTAGAAGAGGGAAAGAGAAGGAAGGGGTGAGGAGTGGGATGGGAGACAGATTTTCTGAGAGTAAATTTTGAACTATTTTCATTACCCTTTCACCATGGTCAGGGTAGGTAAGGGCATTTGAATCTTGGGGAGCAGCAAGCCAGAGGAATAAGGACGGTACAGAGAGATAGAGGCAAGATGAAAATGAAATTGAAAAATACTTTGCATTATTCAGTCTTATCACTGCCATTCTGCGGTGCACAGAATCGCTATTTGGGAAACCGAGTTCCTAGCTGAAAAAGGAGTCTGGGATTATAGAAGATTCATTACCCTATTTAAATGGCATTCTCTCTCTTTCTCTCTCAAATTTACTCCTGTTCCCACTCCAGCTTGGTTTACATGAGACTTAAGCTGTGAGGTGGAGTATAAAGAAAGAGAAAAGATGGGCCACTTTTTGAGTAAAGTACATGTATATGTCTTGAAATCCTGCTTCCAGTCTTGAAACACCCAGATCAACACAACCCACATAATTCTTTTTTTTTTTTTAAGATTTTATTTATTTATTTGACAGAGATCACAAGTAGCCAGAGAAGCAGGCAGAGAGAGAGGGGGAAGCAGGCTCCCTGCCGAGCAGAGAGCCTGGTATGGGGCTCGATCCCAGGACCCCGAGATCATGACCTGAGCCGAAGGCAGAGGCTTAACCCACTGACCCACCCAGGCGCCCCAACCCACATAATTCTTACTAATAATCAGGAAAAAGTCTCTGAATAATGAGTGGTCTAAACCTTACTGCAGAAGAAGTACAGGAGGAAAAACAACTCACCAAAAAATTCACACCTGAGAGGTGACAGTTTAATTAAGCATAAGTGATAAATTGCTGTACTTAATTGTTGCATTTTCAGGAAAAAAATACATATTTACAAGTATTATTTATATCTTATAATTAAAAAACATTTTCTTATATCCATTTGTTTTCCTATGGTATAGAAAGTCCTATTGTGTTAAAATACTCTTAATTTTAAAATCTGCTTCTCTAATTTTTTAACTCTTGCCTGTTTGAGCTATATTATTTCTGTTGGTAATACCCCTACTACATACGAATGATTAAATCAGTAACTTTAAATTGCTGTTCTACAGTGGTCCTTATTTCCATTATCTCCCTTTTTATTAGCACAAACATTTCTTTTTAACCTTCTTAGAAAAAAATATTTTCTTTTGGGTAGCATCTTGGTGTTTCATTTTGGACGGTAAGAAATCTACATCTTGCTTTGAAAAGAATCCAATTTTAAAGAATAGACTGTGAAATGTTTACTAAACAGAAGTCTCTGAACATATAGACTTTTAATGCAGAAGAGTAGGTAAGCACAGGGTATTTGCTTTTCCTGATCCAAATAAGGTTTAACTTTTCTCTCATGAATTCTATGCCATTTCCATCAGTTAAGGGCTTGTAATTCTTCCCATTTACCAGGTAACATTTCAATACAAAGAGAATTTGAGGGCTGGGTATCAGGAACAAAAAGTTCTCATTTTTCCAAGGGGAAGCTTTTTGATGTAAGTTTATTAAACACTAAAACAAGTCAGTGAGAGGGTGAGCTTTCTGCTTTCACAGACTTTTTGAATGGCAATAGAAAGCTGGTTGTATGATTATTTAGATGGACTGTCTTACTTGACATAAAGGAACTTATATCCTTAAACAGCCATGTTTGGAATATAGGTACGTTTGGCATGAAAATTCCAGATTTGTAAACCAGATAAATTGAGGTTAACTATTCACACTTCAAAATGATTTTTTGGTATTACAAAGTATTCTTTGTCAGTGCCTTTGAATTAGTGAGGATCTTTGAGCATTTAAATATTATTTGATTTAATATGATGTATCTGTTTAGGTCCACATCATCTATTAGATCCAGCATATTGATTTTTCAAGTTACAATAAGATTTTCTAGTATCAAGCTTCATATTGGTTGATATATGTCACTGTTAAAGGTTTGGGATCATATTTTAGACAGAAATTTTTTTACATCCTATTAATTTCTAAAAAAAATTTTGCTGTTCCTTCTATCCTTTATTCTAATGAAGAGAAAAGAAACTTCATTACTTGTAAACTTTTTCATTGTGTGAGTAAATATATTGTATCCTGTGAACACTTCTTTAAGTAGCAAATCAGAGAGCTTGGGTGTTGGTTGAATCCAGTAAATTAATAGCAAGATATGTTCGCAGAAACTGATGTTTTCCATCTAAATCTTATTCCTTCTATAAAAGAAAATTCAGCCTGGATCTCGTGAACATTTTGCTTTCACTTGAGTGTTTCTTTTAAAAATAGATTTTCTGTACAAATTCCTGGTCCTCAATTTTTCTATTTAGAAGTGGTTTCATAATAATGATAAAAAGACTAATAATAGCTGCTCTAGCTTTCTTATGGGTTGGTAACAGGAATCAAGTGCAGCAAGCATGTGAATGTGCATTTAACACTGAAATCTCCAAGGCAATACATTTTCATTTCACAATCCATTCAAATTCTGATCCAAGGATATAGAATTGGTTAAGGTCAGTAGATGTGGAAGATACGCCTCACTGACTGGACCAGGAAACTAATGCTGCGGTGAGGCTGTTAGGGCTGGAGCTTGGAGCAGGGTGCTGGTTAGTGGACTTGCCAGTCGCCGTCTGTCTGTACCAAACGCTGTCAACTGCCTCACCAGATATGCTTCTGCTTCTGCTTTGAACTTTTTTCTTCTTTAAGTGGGCTCCACACCCAGTGTGGAGCTCAACCAGGGGCTAGAACTCACAACCCTGAGATCAAGACCTGAGCTGAGATAGGGTGGGTTGCCCAATTGACTGAGCCCCTCAGGCACCCCTGCTTTGGAATTTTTAACAAATAAGTGATTCCACAGTTTTCTAGTAGGAAATTGTAGACCTGGGCATCCTTCTTGCTATTAGTTCCAAAGTAAAGTCATAGCCCTTGGATTTCTAAATGATATTTTTGTATTATACTCTTAGATATACTCCATTCCTATATTTAAATGCTTCCAGATTTAACTTCTTCAAAATGTTAAATGTCTTGCCAGAATTACAGTTTATTGCAAAGAATCTAAAATCTTTGTATGTATTTTGTTTCATTTCAGAGTAGGATCTACATGCCATTCTTTGGTGGTTGGGCTTTTCGGCCTATACATTTTGTTTTTTGATGAGGTTGCAAAGGCTGATCCACTTTGGTAAGCTATTTCTTTCCAATATAGTCCATTTGATTTATGTTTTGATATTAATTATTAATAAGAACATCTCCTACTTCAAAATGGAAAATATATTGATGGTGCATTGTTTATTAAAATGCTTGTGTTCAGATGTACTTCAGCAAGATGCAATAAAAGGGTTTATTTTAGATTTGAATACAAATAATGAAGGCCACTTTGTACTAGTATCCCAGTTGTTACTCAGGACAGGGAGAATATGATGATGATGTAAATATTTACACTGAGTTAGTGAGTAAAACCAAGTTGTCGTAACCACTGTTTTTTTTGGAGCAAAAATGAGTTAACTATTGAGTAGGATAGTCAGCTTGGATAATAATCTAAAGACTTAGTCTAGGGTTGAACCCATCATTTGATATCAGAGGTATAAAAATGAGGATTATAGATGTCCATGTAAGAGGAAGTTAGTACCACATGAGAAGATTTGAAATACTAATAATAACAATGTTCAGCAATAATAGATAATTTCTAAGATGACTCTTTTTGAAAATTTTAAATGTCATTTCAATGGCAGAGATATTGCAAACTGTATTTCCGGGCCTTATATGAGAAGGCTTATTTCGGCTTAGTTTGAGAGACAAGGTATGTTTTCAGAAAGCACTGCATAAGGATGTAGTAGATGTGGGCTCTGGGGGATGTGGGACAATGTAATTTTTGACCATTTGTTTGCAGCAATGCCATTTTGATAAATATGGAATTATGCCCATCAGAATTCTACCAGTATTGATAAATTTTCTTTGGGAAGGTATTTTTCAAAGTGAATCAATTTAGTGAATTTAATTCCGTGATGAGGTTTTTTATGTTATCTACCTAAACCGTTTCTAAGTTTTTTCTCCTGATTTTATTGTTATAATGATGGTCAACAGAACCAGTTCTTTTGGGAGATAAATTTTATGACAAAGATTTAATTCACTGGTCGATTTTTGTCCTTATCAGGCTTTTACATAGTATAATTTTTGATCTTTTTACATTTTCTTTGGTGCTGCAGTTTATTCCAGGTTCAGTTTTCCTGGGTCATATTTGCAGATCAAAATTTGTAAAGAAGATAGGACTTCTGCTAAACCTTTCCATTTGCAGTTTAGCTGTTATCAGATTAATTTTGTGTTCATTTCACCAGTAGTTTACATTATAAACCAGATACAAGACTGATAGTTTGTATTTGTTTCTTGGAGTAAAGACCATTATTAGGGCAAATTGTAGGAACTTGATATTGTATATATGTTGAAACCTCAGGTTTAAACTGTCCTGTTCCTGCCGTTTTCCAGTTATATGACAATAGGCAGATCTCTCTAGTCATCAGTAAAGTGATAGTGACCAGTATATTGCTTCAAGATCAGGGGTAGGCTGGATGATTTCTTGAGTATTTGAATCTCTGGTTTAGAAGAAGGAATAAAAACAAAAACAAGACGAGCCACCATCTGGAAATCTATTTGAATCTTTTCACAAACAAATCCTTTGAGAACACATTTATAAAATGTTATATTTTTGATAAAATTATTTATATAAACTTTTCGATAATATAAGAAATTACGATTATTTGTGTAGTTAGAAGTATATCAAGCTAACCCAGGGCGTGGTACAAATGACAATTTACTGTTCAAGAATCTATAGAAAGCATTTTAATTATGTTTCTCAATAGAAAAAACAATGTAGCTGTCATCTGTAACCCATGTGCTAAAAAAAGGGAATCTTTTTTTTTTTTTTTAATATTTATAGGGGTGATTCATCGCTTGTGAAAGTGAATATCTCTATTGCTACAGGCTACCTCATTTCTGGTATGTGATATGTTGGCCTCTGTTTCTTTTTACAGTTCTCATGGGATTTTACAAAGAATACATAGTCTATTCTTTCAGTTTATTTATTTGTGAAGTCACTTGTAGGACCCATAAGAGGAAGATTTATCTGCTGTGATGGTAGAACATGAAACATTTTTCCTGTTGGCTGTCTGGTTCTCTTTGACGGTAGAGCAGCAGAGTGGGCCCTCAGTTAGGCCTGAATTTTTTTTTCACTAGCAATGGGCCATTTTTTGCCCTAAACGGTCTCTCAGGTGGAATTCCTGGGAAGCTAATGAGGTTTAAGCATCAAGATTTCTCTCACTTGCAAGGGCCCTTGAAATGGGTTCCTGTGCTTGCCGTTTTATATTGTTTGGGGGAAGTTCGCAAAGGGAAACTGTTTGAGCCATAATCAGTTAAGATCATGGACTCTTTCTACTCCATGTTTCCCTCTGTCCTATTTCTCCTCCTGTGGGATGGGGTTGGAATAGCCTTTTATACTATGAGATAAAGGGGAAATTAAGTGAGAATATACGATTCGAACTTTTTGAAGAGACATTCTAGACCATCTCTGTAAGACAAGAGAAAAAGAACAGACCCTTGATTTGGGCATTTTATATAGGGAACCCTATTTTATAATTTTCAAATTCAATAGATAACTGCAAAATCCAAATAAAAATAATGGGATATGAAACCAAAGTGATAAAGATGAGTGATGGACCCAATAGAAAATTTTCTGCTATCAAGAAGTGAATTGTAACAAAAGATTAAATTATACCAAAACACAGTAATTCATTAGGAGGAAGAAATGAATTTTGAATTAAAATAATGAATAGGTGATTAGATTATCTAATGGCCCATTTACAATTAGAGTGAATCATGTGAATACACTGGAAAAAGATTTGCTTGTTTGGTACGAAATGCTGTTGTGGACAAGGATGACACACAATTTATAGTACAGTTTCCGTAGTGTAGTGGTTATCACATTCGCCTGACACAATTTATAGCACACCTCATGGACCGCTTCATGAACATTGTCCGTTCAGAGAGTAGTGACCACGCAGAAAGTCTTGTATGAAAGAAGCTTGATAAAGCTTTCCCCAAATAAGATAATAATCTGAAGCACTTAAAAATAAGAATTATGAACTGAAACTGACTTTTCTAAACCAAGCTGAATGAAGAGTGAATTCTTTTTGTTCTCTCTATGGAAATTATTACAAGGTCATTATCATAGAAATTGGTGACCAGTGTATGGCCAAAATATATTGGGAAAATGTATCTAGAGAGGTCTGTCATGCAGTCAGTTACTAATAGTGTTATATTTTCTTGATTTCCACTGTACTTGATTTGTACTGTTTGTTTTCTCCATAAAATTGGTAATCTGATTACTTTTTTTTTTTAAAGATTTTTATATATTTATTTGACAGACAGAGATCACACGTAGGCAGAGAGGCAGACAGAGACAGAGGAAGGGAAGCAGACTCCCCGCCGAGCAGAGGGCCCAACATGGGGCTCGATCCCAGGACCCCGAGATCATGACCTGAGCTGAAGGCAGAGGCTTTAACCCACTGAGCCACCCAGGCGCCCCAATCTGATTACTTTTTAAAATAAATAGTCACATCTAGTTTTGTATCAGTAGTTTTCATTTTTTTATATATATACAAGAAGGTTCTCATATAAGCTCCAATCCCATGAAACCTGAATCCTCTCTTGGTTTCCACCCATGATAGCCATTTGCCTCCATGTCTTTCACATTTAGCCATTTGGTAAAGAACATAGTTGTGTGAACATTTTGAGAAGCTTGTTTTGTTAAAAATTCTGTTTTGTTAAGGGAAAACTATTTTCTGAATCATGGTGTTTATATTCGGGATCTTTTAAGGAGAAATTGAGACCTTGACCTCTTGCTTTGCATATCTTTTTAATAGTTTTATTAGTATCTTTAATAGTTTAATTGTTTTTGTTTTTATTGCTATTTTGAATTAATATTTAATCATATCCTTTGTTAATTTTTAAATACTGTTTTTTGGATTTGTGTTATAAATAAGTTGGCCATTTTGTACCTTTTCTGCAACTATCTTATCTGTGTGAATTGTTGTAGTCACAAACATCAGTAATTTCAGCTTATTTAAAAATTATTTGTATTCAGTAACATTTCCATTTTATTTAACCCTGGTAAGTTATTAATTTGTACTTTCAATGAATATATTACCTGTGTGGTGGGCACTGTGCTGGATTCCCACATGTGGTCCTCACCCTGGGGAGGTCACAGTCGTGTGGGAGCAGATACCTTACAATAAGGTGGTAACAGGACTGCAAAGCATGAGCAAAGTGCAGTGGGCTCAGTATGGACTGTGAGAGGCTGTTGAGGGGGAAAGTTAGATACACTTGAAAAACAGTCCAGCCTTCTTCCTATGTAATATCTCACTTATTTTTCCTTCTTTCAGATTTGTTGATTCTCATTTTGTATTGGAAAGTGATTGGTGACAAATATTTTATAATTCACCATTGTGCAGCGCTGTATGCATACTACTTTGTACTGGTGAGTGCGAGGATTTACGGTAGCCTGACAAGTAGACAAGGTTGGGAGTGATGACTTAGGGGTGAACAGAAATCGAAACCTACAGTCCCCAGTTTATAAAGACCAACTCCGGAGGCATTCAAGGATCACTGTGGTGATGTGTTATCTTGTTTATTAACAAAAAATAATGACTTGTGTGTTTGTGTTAGTGTTCTGTTTGGATTCATAAAATTTAAGGTAGATGACCTCGATTTTTTAAATTTTCACTTAAAACCTTTAGGATCACGTAGCTATTGATATCTGCCTGTCTTCCTAGGTGCATTTATGACTTTCTTTTCTGTTTAATTCTCGTCCAGTTACATGTACATATGTAATTACATTTAAGTAGGCTGGAGCAGTGGGGGAGTCTTGCTCAGAGACTTCCGAATTCCAAGACTGAGCTAATAGAGCATACTCACAGCAAATCTCAGGCAGTAAGGCATAGTAAGTTTTACATCAACAATTATTTTTCTACACTATATATTTGTAAATTAGCAATTTTATATCCTTTGTGTGTGGGTTAAGTTTCTCCACATTCAGTTGTTTTTCAACCTAGATATGCCAACAAGGCTCAAGTAGATACTTGGAAATAATAGACATATGTAGACTAGAATAATAGTCTTTTTTTGTTTTAGACAGAAAGAGAGAGAGTGTGTGTGCATGTGTACTTGCACACAAGAGAGAGAGAGAGCAGGGGAGGGGGCAGAGGGGGAGGGAGAGAGAGAATCTTAAGCAGGTTTCACGCTCAGCAAAGAGCCCAGCATGAGGCTCAGTCTCAGAACCCTGAAATCATGACCTGAGCTGAAATCAAGAGTCAGCTAGTTAATCAACTGAGCCACCCAAGTGTCCCTAGAATAATACAAATTTTATGTAATAGCGATGGTATGCCATTCCATGTTTTCTTCTTTTTGAAACTTAAATATAACCACTGGCTTTTTTTTTTCCTTATTTGGTATGACTAAAATCCTTACATTATTAGACATCTGTGACTATTTGGAGGGTTTTTAAAAAATTAATATAAATGTGTATTAATAGTGATCTTCCACTTTTCTTTATATTGACCCACACACAGCTGGTGAAGGAGATGTGAATTTGGCATTATTTCTGCAAGAATCAGATATATCAGAATATCTCTCTTTATCACCCATTGAAGTCATAAATTAATATAAATGTTTTCAAAAACTATGCTTGTTTTCTGCTATAAATAAGTGATTATGTATATCCAAAATGTATCCTTAATCACTTTATTTTTCTGAACCAATAGGCTATTTTTATTGGCATTTCCTACTATTTGTCTTCTTTTTAGATTTTAATAGATTATAGGTAGTTATAAAATATAGACTTTTACCTTTTACAGGTCTTAAATTTTTGGTGTACAAGCACTTTTTTCCTAAACACTTGCTTAAAAAACATGAAAGCTGACTAACAAAATACTAATTAAGTCTGAGAAGAATGTGTGGGTGTGCATGTGAGTTTAATATCATGCTTCAGTGTAGAAGTATGTTCTCTGAATATGCATCACAAATAACCATTGTGTTGTGAAAAGAATACAAGCCGATGAAAGATAACAGGTCACTTACGTGCATTTGGAAATGTGAATAGGATGAGCTGCTGTTCTCCCTCGGCCCCTGAATCCCAGGCTTGGCAAAAGGCTGGCTGTGCGTGGTTTGGTAGGCTGAGTATTTAATTATGTGGGATGAATATTGTTTTCTCTTTGGACTTTTATGTCCTTATTTAAAAAAAAAATTAAAGTGCAAAGAAATTAACTCTTGCCTTATTGATAAGAAAATCAAGTGCTGTGTTTTCTAGGAACGATTGCTTTTTTGGTGTCTTCCTATGTTCTATTGTATGAAATAAATGAATGGTATGAGGTAAATTTATCTCTTTAAAGTGAATCTCTTCAGAGGGAAACAGGAAAAAAATTAGAAAATAAATAAATGCTTATAGATGTAGTGATCCTTTGTCCTTTATGGATTTTACATTTCCTGTTTAACTATAGAAAAACTTTTGTTGTTCCATGCAGTGAATTCCCAGGTTGTCTTGTGCAATTTAAGTAAGGCTAACAAAATAACAACAACAACAACTACCACTACTACTACTATTACTACTACTGTTTTGTATAAACTTTTCTGAATTTCTTCACTTATGAGAAGTGGTATTTGGAAAGCATTTTGACTTGATAAGTATGCAACTATTTAAGTGTTTGTAGTAACTTCTTTTCCTAAAACATTTGCTTTTTTTTCTTCTTTTCTCTCTCTCTTTTTCTTTTTTAAGTTTATTTATTTAAATTGTCTCTCCCCCCGAAGTGTGGGGCTTGAACTCACAACCCTGAGATCAAGAGTCTCTTGCTCTTCTGACTGAGACAGCCAGACACCCCAAAAGAAAATGAAAACTAGAGACAAGTTATTTGTAGGTTTTAATTGTATGCTCTACTAAATGGTTGAAAAGTAAGATCCTTTTAAATTTAGGTTATTAAATAGGTTATATAATGTCTTGATCACTATTCTTGCAGCTCTCTCTAGTATATTAAGTGGAGTCTTAAAATTCTCTGGTGGAGTAATTTAGAGCTTAAGGAATCTTCTCTGGTGTCTACATAGAAAGGTAAAAACCCTACAGATTTTTCCCTAGAATTCACTTTTCCCTCCTCAGTGAGGATACTAATTATTAGGGGAAATGTGACAGGATGATTTCTTATTATAAGGGACGTGAATATAATTATGCTCTAATGTCCTATTTTTAAGGATAAGCCACTGTCTTTTGTACTCCTGATCTCTTTGGTAGCCTTCATTTTTTTCTGTTTCTTGAGGATCACCCACATTCCCCAACCAGAAAAAAGAGTATACTTGGAAAACTTTTAAATTTGGAAAGAAGAGCACCCCTAAACCTACTTTGCCCAGCTCTTCTGCATTATTCAGCTACCCTGGAATCTAATCATTAAATCATGCAGCAGCAATTTAGGAAGAAAATTTGGTTTCCAGGGCTGTCAGTGCATTTATTAAAAGGAATTAGCTGCAATGTGATACCTTGAGGGTAAGAATTTGTTTCTTGTTTAATGTTATACCCCAGTGTCTACATTTGAAAAACATTTTGCAAGCAAGTATGTATGAAGTCGTATTGAAAAATGAAAGACTTGTATATAAGACATGGAAAGCTGTAATGTACATGAGAACATGAGAATTAGAAAAATATTGGTCTTAGCTTTAGTCTAAAGAAGAATTTCCACACCAGTACCATGAAACAAATGCCATAACTCAGTAACAGTTTATCATTAACTGTGTTAAACTGTTCAAATGTTTCAAGATGACTTGAATAGTGTTGCCTGTTCTCAGTTACATATAAATAATGTATTTCCTCTTTTTCTCCCATTAGAATAGTCTTAAAGAAAAATTTAGGTAACTATCATAGCTGTTAGAGCAACATTTCAAAAGATAATAAAATTTCAAAGTTAACACTTTTGTTGACTAGGTAAGTATTAAAATAGCCACCTACTGTAGCTTACTAATCAAGATTCAGTAGTAAGGTCTGTGTGATTTCTGTTTCCCACTAAATTTACATATAATAAAACCTGTTAAATATTTAAATAAAAAAAAATTTAAAACCTGGAATAACATGTTAACCTTTTTTCTACTGAAATAAAAGATCATCAGCTTTTCTTATACTGTAATGAGCAACAGGCAGAAGTCAGTCTTAGAAATTGTTTTATTAATATTTGTATAGTTTACTTATTCAAAATCTGTATGCAACCATAGTTACACAATTAGCTTATAACTCTTACTACTAATTGAGGGATTAGTTGTGGTAAAAATGTTAAGTGGCCATTTAAAAAAATTTGTTATATACCTCTGTGCATATATGTGAAGACCTGTATACACACGTATGTATAATATATTGTGTTTGGATTTTTGGAATTTGCTTTAATATTTGCTTTTTATTATAGAATATCTGATGTGACCATTCCCCCTACTTCATGAACATAACCACGCTCCTTAAGACCTTCCTCTGTTTGGGTTTGGAGGAGCTCAAGGCTGGCTCTTCTCTCCTTACCCTGTGGTTGCTGCTTCATGGTCTTTGTGGGCACAGAACATTTCCTCACATTTGCATAGTTGAATTATCTTAGAACTGTCTCCCTTCCTCTCTCTAACCTGGCTTGGTTTTTGAACCCTGTTTCCTTTCAGTACCAGAAAAGGAAACAGTTCATATATTGGACTTATGTGTGATGATAAAATAGATGTCAGCCATGTCTACTCAAGTCAGTATTTTGTTCTTAATTACATTTTATAAAAAACAATCTTATCATAAGAGCCTCCTTATATGATATGCTGAAATAGTCAAATCCATGGACACAGACAAGGATAGTTACAAGGGGCTGGGTGCAGGGGGTAAAGTTACTGTTGAATGGGCGAGAGTTTCAGTTTGGGGATATGAAAAATTTTGGAGACTTAAACACTTAAAAGTAGTTAAATGGGTAAATTTTATGTTATGTATATTTTACCACAGTAAAAAAATTTATTTTTGTTTCAAAATTTTTTAATTTTTTAAATGTGTATGTGTGTGTGTGTGTTTGTTTTTTTGTTTTTTAACAAGCCTATCAAATTTTTTTTTGTTTTTTTGTTTTTTTGTTTTAAAGATTTTATTTATTCATTTGACAGAGAGAGATCACAAGTAGGCAGAGAGGCAGAGATGAGCAGAGAGCCCGATGCGGGGCTCGATCCCAGGACCCTGAGATCATGACCCGAGCCGAAGGCAGCGGCTTAACCCGCTGAGCCACCCAGGTGCCCCCAATTTTTTTTTTTTAACAAGCCTATCAAATGACTGCAACAAGGCTAGGAAGGAGAACTAATAATATGCTGGATGATATATTACATTTTTAAGCTGGAGCAATAGGCTAAAACAAATACATGGAACCTCACAGTGATAATGTTAGGTTTTGCATTTAGGTGTGACAGTGTGTAAGAAGGGAGGAATGACCCAGAGGTGATAAA